AAACATACATACAAACATCACACACATACATATACAAATACATACAAACATCACACACAAACACATACACATACATACAAACATACATAAAGACACTCACACACGGAAGTATGTCCTCTAAGAGAATCAACTAATTTCAACCGTGTAAAGATCGGTGATATTATTATTATTAACGACAACAACAACATAGTCAGACTTTAGCATTGAAAAAAACTATAATTGTGAATTTATCAATAACATTAGCAAAGACATAACAACAACATCAACATCACCATCAACAACAACAACAAACAACAACAACAAACAACCAAAACAACAACAACAACAACAAACAACAACAAATAATGAAAAATGAAGATAATAATAATGAAAATATTAATGAGAATAATAATAATATTACGAAAATCGGAGATTGCCGAAACATCAATAACAATTGCATCAACAAATTGCCATGCATACACATTACATTACATTACATTAACTCCGTAGCTTCAACAAAAAAACATTAACCCGATTCCAACAAAGAAACATTAAAGACAGTTTCCTTGTTACACTCAAGGCAATAACAAACTTATACAAGCTAAAAAAAGCAACAACGCTAAATAAATTTCAGCTGTAATAATAACAATAATAACATTATTAATAATAACAATAACAATAATAACAAAACAATAACAATAATAACAACAATAATAACAATACTAACAATAGCAATAATAACAATAATAACAAGAGCGTGGTAATGGTAATAGTGGCGATGCTAAGTGGCAAACGTTGTCCTTTTGGATAAAAGACATCCGATATTGTGCCTCCATCTTAATGCTGTCTTGTCACATACGCCTCAGTGTACGCTGCTGTGTGTACGCACATGTGCACTTGTGTGTATGTGTTTTTGTATGTATGTGTGTTTGTATGTATGTGTATGTATGTATGTATGCTTGTGTGTGTGTAGGCGATCGATGTATGTATGTGTTACATAGGCATGTGCACATGTGCGTACTTTTGCATGATTGTATGATTGAAGTTGAAGTTGAATATGCGGAGATCGAATAAAACTGTATGTCTTGTTGTGAATGTATGTCATGTATGTGTGTATGTATGTATGCTGTACGCATATTTGTGCGTATGTATGTATGTATGAGCAAGAATGGAAGTTTGTGTACACGTATGTATGTATGTTTGTGTGCAGGATTATGTTTGTTTGTGTGTGTGCTTAGGTATGGATATATATTATTGCTACCCTAAGGTTGTCATGTACTGTTGTTGGGCGTTGAAAATTTTGGTTGGGGTTGATTCGTTAACGTGATGATGTGTGTCATTCTTCATTGCTGTTTCTTGCTTCTTCTTTGGTTTTTGAAAAGTATAAACTTGAACGTTTGCGACCCAAGATATGCATGTTCGAGTGGAAAAAAGTTTCCCGCTAAATCAAATATAAGGAAAAAGAACTCTGATAATAAACAAAAAATTTTTAATGAACTTAAAAAAATGGATTGAAGAAAAAGACGGAGAAGAAAGGATGAGATTAAAATTATAGACCGTCTTTAAGCTACAGCGTATAACTCACTTACCTCCCAATAAATGCCAAGCAATCTTCAAACTGCTCATTTGCTAACTGCCACTACGTCAATTTCACGCCAACAACATGAGTTTGTGAGTTTGTTTGTTTGAGTGTGTGTGTTTATGTGTGTGTGTATGTTTGTTTGTTTTTGTGTGAATGTTTGTTTGTATGTTTGTATGTTTGTTTGTATGTTCTCGCTTGATTCGCTTTGTGTATCTTTTAGTGTTAGTGCATACGCACACGTTTTGATGCATGTTTGTGTTTTGTTATGTGTGTGTGTGTGTCGTGTGCGTGTG